AGTCGACTGATAACCCACAAGTGAAGGGGATCACATCACAAATATCACAACACAAATTTATTGATTCAAGACAATGGGAGCCAAATAATATTTATAACCCTTAGCAACTGAATTGTTAATTCAACCACACCTGAAAACGCATACCTACAAAAAAAATTGTTAATAGCAAATGCGATGGATTACTCGGAGTTTGATTGCAGTAAAGTAACGAAAGTAGCAATATCAGTAGTTGCCAAGTACAAACTATGTTAAAGAGAGAAATGGTGATCAAAAGCGTTGGCATTAGAGTGCATAATGAGGTGTTGTATGGATATAATCAATTATGTAACAACGTTAACATATGGTGATAATAATCTAACTCAGATTCATCAACTCAATGTAGTTATATATTTTCATATGTAGTTGCTTCAATATGAACTTGCACATTTGGTCGTACCCTCTCGTTTCTGTAGGTTCTTAATAAAATTTAAGGGTAATTAAGGTACTTCTTTCATAAAGTACCAGACTAAAACATTAATACCTAATGAAAACATGCTATCCTTGCTGGAAATATGCCCTAGAGGCAATAATAAAATGTTCTATATTATTTCAGTGTTCAGAATTAAGTTTATTTTTCTATATCATAATTGCAATGGTTCTTGAATATGATATTCAGAGGAAAATTCTGGTGTATGTGTGAAAAATAAACACCGTAGATCCCTGGTCTTGCCTCTAAGAATATCTCATGTATTGTTAGTGGTAAATAGTTTGCTACCATGGGGGGTAGCTGCCTCCCATCAACTGACCATGCAATTAACTATCTGGATATCTAAGAAGCTAATGGTTATCCAAGTTGAGAATACCACTAGGCTATAATGCTAGCAACAATGAGAACACATTGTTGTCAAAATAATGGTGTTCCCTAGACCCAACTTATGATATACCGTGAGATTCCAGCGTCAATTGGTTGACGATATTACTACATAGTACTCCTTCCGTCCCATAATGTAGGATGTTTTTTGACATTATACTAGTGTCCAAAAACATCCTAACTAATGGGATAGGGGGAGTATATGTTAACGTTGATTTGCATCCTTAGACCATAAGAATATCGTAGGACCATCATACCGGCTGGTTATTCTAGGTTATCAAACATTTTATAAAAGTAGCCTACGGGTACACTGAAAAAGTATGTCAAGGAACCTTAACTTTTACTCTTTAATTTTGTTTGAGGGGAATTACCCTGGACCTCCTATATGCCGCTTATTGCGGTAAGGAGTTGCAGTTTCGCATAGGAGGCAGCTTACCTGGGCCGGCCCATCCGCTGTGGCTGAGCCTTCGCAATGAAATATATATAGCGATAGGAATAGAACTCGCGACCTGCAGCAGATGCGTGCGATGTGCTAGCCACTGCAATTGGATAGCTATTGTGAATGATTGGCAGTGCGAATCTTAAATAAACTACCGGCAACTCCAAAAAATAAAACCACTTCACAAAATTCCATAAAACATGTGGGCGACGGATCAAACACAAGCCCAGTATTTATTATGTCAAATTACAGCTCAGTATATATGAACTAAAATACGCGGCAGATTTCAACATTTAAAAAAAATATCAAATGAGATTTCTAAAAACAAACACTTTTTTGAAACAAAAATATTATTCAGGAAAATAAAAAATCAACACAATAGGAACAACGATTGAATACGACAACATTTTTCAAAATTATGAACAACTTTTTGTAAACGTGAAACATTATATGAAAAACATTAAAGAATGAAAAATCAAATGTTTTTGAAAATTACAAACTATTTTTTACAAAAATTCGAACAATTTTTTAACGTGCTAAAAACAATTTCAAAACATGCTGAAATGGGCATTTTTGAATATTTGAACCAAATTTGAAAACGGGAATATTTTTGAATCTGTGAATAAATTTTGGAACACAAGAACAGTTTTTGGACATTTTTGAATTTTGAAAAAATTAGGAAAATATGAACATTTTTTAAAATTCCAAAACATTTTTAATTCATGAACAACATTTAAATTTTTGAAAATTATTTAAATTTGTGAACAAATATTGAAACCCGGCAATTTAATGAATCTGTGAACAAATTTAAAAAAACGGGAACAATTTTTTAAATTCCTGAAGAGTTTTTAATTTGTGAGAAAATTTTAAAATCCAAACATTGTTAATTTGTGAACAAATTTTAAACATGAATGTTTACTGAATTTGTGAATCAAACTTGAAAACAGGAACATTTTCTGACGTCGTTAACAATATTTTTTATTCCCTAAAAGAATTAAATTTGCGAACAAATTTTGAAACATGAACATTCCCTGAATTTGTAAAAAAAATTGAAAACAGGAAATTTTTTGAAACTTTTTTTTTGGTTTTTGAACAAAATTTAAAAAGGTGATTTTTTTAATTTTGGAACATTTTCTGAAACAAAGTAAACAACTTTTGTAATTCTTAGTTTTTTTGGAATTTATAAACAAAATTTGAAAACAGAAAATTTTTCTGGACAAATGAACAAATTTTCTAAATGTGAACATTTTTTTAGTTTCTAAATATTTTATCAAGTAGAAAAAAATTGACAAAGAAAAATGAAAATGAAGCTGAAATAAAAAAAGGAAAGAAAATAAAGAAACAAAAAACAAAAAATATATAGAAAAGAAAAAGGAAAAGGAAAAAGAGAAAAAGGAAAGAGAAAAATAACAGAAAGAATCCGGTCCAGGAACCTTCTAAAAGTTTCCGAAAACCATAAAAAACCGGCTTTTTGACGCAGAATGCGTCAAATAGGGATTTCAGAATTACACTTGAATTAATGGTGAATCCTATTTGGCGCTAAAGCGCCCGTTCACGAATTGGCGGCTGCTTGGGCTCGGCCCATTTCCCCTTTCTTTCTGTTTGTATAGAAAACACAAAAATGCAGGGGCGGCCGATGGTATTCGAACCTGCGACGTCCCGGTCATTCTTCACTGTGCTAACCACGGGCATCAACTTAGGTGCACAATTATATCTTCTTTACTCTTTCCTTCCTACAATTACAAAAAAAAAACTATTTCGCTCGTATCTCTTTTTATTTTTTCCTTTTACTTTTCATTTTTCTTTTGCTAAATTGAACGAATTTATTTTAAAATTGATGAACCACTTTTCAAAATTGATGAACCTTTTCCAAAATCGATGATTTTTTGAAGTTCAATGAACTTTTTGAAATTTGATGAACTTTTTCTTGAAATTCGATGAACTTTTTCATATTTGATGAACATTTTCAAAATTGCTAAACTTTTTTCAAATTTGATGAAGTTTTGCAAATTTGATGAACTTAAAAAAAGAATGAACTCTTTTCAAATTTTATGAACTTTTTTAAAACCGATGAACCTTTTTTCAAATTTGATGAACTTTTTTTAAAACAAGGAACTGTTTTTACAAATTCGTTTTTTTTTGAAATTTGATTAAGCCTTTTTCATAAAAAAAATTGTTTACAAATAATTCAAAAACCTAATAAATAGCACTGATACAATGGTTCCTAAACCTTTCGCATTCTTCCCAGTCACTTGCGGTTACCAGCTGTAGTGGTTAGCAGAACACTTCATCTGTTATAGTGGCACGGTGCAAGTTCACGTCGTGGGCCGGTCGAACAGGAGCCTCCCTCAATTAATTGCTCCCAACTATACCTGGCCATGGGCAACCCGGCCTGGCCCAGCCCAACGATGCACCCGGGCCGTGCCCCGGCCTAGATTTTGAGCCTGAAGGCCGGGCCAGGCTTGGGCCCGCCATTTTTGCAATTTACTGAAGGGGCCCAACCCGAGGCCCGACAGGCTTTTACACATGTGGAGCCAGGCTTGGGCCTGATTTTCTAGGCCCGATGCTCGAGCCGGGCCGAGTTCGGGCCTGGATTTTCTGCGTCGGGCTTGGCGAGGCTCGATCCGAGGGATGGCCAGGTTGTTGCAGGTATAATTTGGCTACCAAGTTTATGTGATCTGCCAGATTAGTGTATATGCTAATGTTAAGTGCAGAGACACCAAGTCAGGCAAAGCAAGTTATTTCTTTGGGGCAAACGTATAAGGGAAGACATCTGGATGGAGGATGGCGCAAGTGAACAAGGCAACTAGTATAAGACTTCTATTATCTGTTATGATTAGCATCTTAGCCGGAATATTTTATTATTTATATTGTAGGCCAATGAAGCCCTGTACGAGACATGGCAAGGGAACATGGCCAGTAGGCTGATTTTTTTTATACATGGCAACCAACTTAAAGTAGCTAAAATCTATTCGGTTTGGACTTGGAGTCTGGTTCCTAAACGCAAAGTCCCGCGTGCCTTATATGTAGGCTTAACCGATTGGAAAAAGGGAACCAATCGATCCTTTTGCAACATTACGTTACTTTTTTTTTCTATGTTATTTTTTTTCTAGCACCTACTCTCTCCGTCCGGAATTATTTGTATCGGAACTGGATGTATCTAGAACTAAAATACGTCTAGATACATCCATTTCTGCGACAAGTAATTCCGAACGAAGGGAGTAGCTCATAACTTCTGCCCAGTCCAAACCCTAGAGTTGCTAGGACTGGTCCCGTTTTGCATTGAAAAATGGTCGGTTTACTTTCACAAAAGTGAGGATCATGTGGTGCTATATGGATCAATTTCGTGCAGCAACACAGGTATACTCCCAACACACAACGGCTTCCCTTGTTTTTTTTAGAGCTTGCTCGCCCGTTGGCTTCTTTGTTTTTGTTTTGTTTTTTGAGGGGCCGTTGGCTTCTTTGGTGTATACTGGGCCATGGAGTTCAACAATTGGGCGTCAAGTTGGGCTCATAGAATTCTTTCCTGGGCTTTCAATACGATGCGTGCTGCTCTGTTCGAACAAGGCCAGACCACGATCTCCGCAGTCCGCACCATTGCCTCAAGAAAAAAAAAATACGAGCTCCGCACCACCAAGCCACCAACAGCCGGCGGCGGCGAACCTCCCCACTTCCCCCGTCGCCGCCGGCGACGTCCCCTGCACCGGCGCCATGCTCCGCCTCCGAACCTGCATCCTCACCCATCCCCCCTCTTCGCCCGCCACCCATCCCGTCCCCTGTCTCCACCGCCTCCTCTCCGCCGCCGCGCCCGCCGTCTCCCCAGGCCCCCGATTCGCCGTCGAGGACTACCTCGTCGACACCTGCGGCCTCACCCGAGCGCAGGCCCTCAAGGCCTCCACCAAGCTCTCCCACCTCAAATCCCCCACGAACCCCGACGCCGTGCTCGCCTTCCTCGCCGGCCTCGGCCTATCCAGCGCCGACGTCGCCGCACTCGTGGCCCGCGACCCGAAGTTTCTCTGCGCCGGCGTCGAGAGAACCCTGTCTCCCATCCTCGCCGGGCTCACCGGCCTCGGCCTATCGCGCTCTGAGATCGCGCGCGTCGCCTCGCTCGCACCCCGCAGCTTCCGCTCTAGATCTGTCGTTTCCGGGCTGGAGTACTACCTCCCCCTCTTTAGCTCCTCCGAGAGCCTTCTCCGGGGGCTCAAGAAATACAAGTACTTTCTCAGTTCTGATCCAGAGAGGGTGGTCAAGCCCAATATTGAGTTACTGCGGGAGTGCGGGCTAGGCACTTCCGATATTGCGAAGCTCTGCCTCGCTGTGCCATGGCTGCTCAGCGCCAAGCCGGAGCGCGTCCAGGTGATGCTGGCGTGCGCGGAACGTCTCGGTGTGCCCCGTGGATCGGGGATGTTCAGGCACGCTTTGAAGGCTGTTGAATCCCTTAGTGAGGAGAAGCTCGCCGCCAAAGTGGAGTACTTAAGGAACACGTTCAGGTGGTCGGATGCTGAGGTGGGCATTGCTCTTCGTAAGGCCCCACTGATGCTGACCAAATCCAATCAGACAATGCAGAGCAAGTCGGAGTTTCTTATCTCTGAGATGGGGTTGGAACCGGCGTACCTTGCTCATTGCCCGGTAATGCTCTGCCTTAGTCTGGAGGGCCGAGTCAAGCCACGGTGCTATGTTATAAAGTTTCTTAAGGCAAATGGATTGCTAGATCGCCACTGGACCTATGGGACAATTGTCAGGGTGTCCGAGATGGTATTTGTGGAGACGTTCATATGCCCTCACAAGGAAGCTGCACCGAACCTTGCTGAAGATTATGATGCCGCATGCAGAGGGGAAATGCCGACTAATTTCAGATTTACATGAACCAAGAACGGGCTATGAGAATTGGTAGCTGCATATGGCGCGAAAAAGTTTTCACTCTGCATGGTAATCTGGTAAATTATGTTTGTTTGCTCTTTGCCTAACTGGATATCTGTTGATTCCTTAAGCCCCATGAGTTGATGCCATTTGATAGAGAAGAAAGCATTGCCTGCAATCTCTCAAGATAAGAAGTCCAGGAATTATTTATGGTTCCCTCTTCTGTTTAAGATGATGGAAATGAATGTGTGGTTGGAACCAATTTTCTGTTGAAACCAGGACCCTGAAAATCAGAAAGCAAAAGAACTATCCTGCATTGTTGTGATGTGCTTTCACGCCGAATTTTGTCTAGCATGTTCCTTTTTCAGTTCGTCGTCTTTTTGCCCAAATTGTTCAGTGTATAATATTTAGATTATGCTTCTAGAAGATATATTTCTACCGGTTCTATGTTTATTGCCTGCCTTCTGATTTCTTTCCTTGTATTCTTCAAATTCCTAAATCCTGTAGTTGACCATACTTTTGCTGGGAATGTTTAAATATTGAACAACTAACCTATTTGGCTCTAAAGTATGATTAACAACTGATTTTTTATCATTTATATCTGCCCTTAATCTTCAGAATTAAATCAGTGGACATGGAATTAATTAGTCTTATAATATCTATCTACTAGTCTTGAATTAATCTTATCATATCTACTGCAAAACTGTCAGTTCACAAAATGAATTTCATCAAGTTACGAATTTCAGACCAAATTGTTGCTTTCAGCTAAGCTGTAAGTCTTTGTACAAACTATCACCTTAGGCTTGTTGTCCATCCTAGCATAAGTGGCAAATTGATGTGTCTACTGATGGAATTCTTCGTTTTGATTGTGTTTAATGATGCAAGATGGGTATCTGGTCTACTGTTCAAAATCATGAGATGTCATTCTTTTGAAATCAATGAGTCAAAGTTTTCCCCTGTTAAAATGCACGAAAGATGTATTGGAGCTAAGACAGTACGAGATCAGGCCATTCAGCAAGTGAATTGAGAGTATCAGTGAGCTATTCTCTGTACTTTTCAAGTACAATAATCTGCTTCAGCTGGTTTTCAACTATAAATATTGGGCTACTTTGTTGGTGAGCCTATCCTGCAGTGTAGGTTTGTCAAGCATCAGCCGCCAATGAAAGCCACTCTGATTTTGAAGTAACATAATCTGCTTCAGGTGGTTTTCAACTATATTTGACCTTATGCAATGTAGGATAGGCTCGCCAACAGGATAGGTTCATTTGCAATGTAGGTTTATTTGTCATCGGCGAAGTGTTTTTCTGCCTCTTGCTGCAGAAGGAACCTGTGAAACTTCCTAGCTGTATATTTATTTGCAGTTGACACAACTGACAACAGAAATATAGAAGCAATAAATGGATCTGCCCCATTGAGCTATACTGCTTTTTGAACAAGTATAGATGTGCAAATCAAGATAATTTTTACCTATCTATTTTGTTGTGTTAAAATAATCATACTGTAGTTCTTAGTACCGTTTATGCCATTTAGTTTAGAGTTACGCACATTAGTTTTATTGATTAATAGCCTGATCAGTGAGCTCTTTTTAAATTCTAATTGTTTGCCGTTCTTATTAAATTCTGCATCCATGATATAGATGCCTATTGTTGTGAACTCTTTTGCAATCTCTTTTAAAATTCTAATTGTTTGCGGTTCTTATTAGTCTGTCATGAAAATTTAATCGTTTCTTATGTTCAGCTGTGCCTGACCAAGCAAGTGGCAAATCTGAGCTCTATGGAATGCTTACATATATCAACGATGAAATGATCTGGATTTTGCAACTCTAAGCTCAGCAAGAGGTGCCAAAAGGATAATGTCTTTGATTGGCTTAAGACTGCTCATATCTGTAACATAGATATTTGGTGAGGTATAAAGCATAGGATGAAATATATGAACTGCCAAAATCTAAACCCAGGACAATATATCTTGGCTTCCATTGGGTTTGATGTACATCGGTAAATGGCTATGTGTCTGCGTCAACTCTCCAAAGAATGCATCACTTGGTATCTCCAAAACTTCCAGTGCTGAAAGCCTGAAATTGCTTTTTGTATTTCCTTTGCATCCATAGATTTGATATCTACCTTAGATGTTCAGTGTTAAAAGCTTCACATCAGTATATCTTGACTTCCATTGGGTTTGATGCCCATTCCGTAGTTGTTTAAGTAACCTTAGCAAGACAATGCTATTTAAAAAAAAAATCTTCTGATTCTTGGGAATAATTTCATCACATGATCCAAATATCTGATTATGCTTCTAAGCTAAATACTCAAAAGTATGGCCCTATGGATAATGTTCATGTTTTCCATGTAACACAGCCCTACTTCTATCTTCATGCTATCCGTAGTCATGTTGTGCATGGCCCTGTAAATAGTTTTTGTTACTACTCCCTCTGTCCGAAAAATATCTAGCACTAACTTGGTGCTAGATACATCCATTTGAGAAATAAGCTTCGGACAAGCTTTTTCGGACGGAGGGAGTACTATTTTGCTTCAAGTATCATAGCTGCCATATGCACATACTACTCAGACAGGCTCTATAAGTATATTTTTACTTACAGTTATCCTCTGTGTATTAACATGATCAATGCATATTATATGTACCCTTCTATAAGTATTTTTCCTTCGGAGCTAATGATATCTCTGTGCTTTTGTATGTGTGTTTGCCAATGCCATGGTTGAATTATTTTTTGTGTGTACACCGAAAACTGTAGGGGCTACTTACCTGACACTAAATATTTGCAACCCACCTAAATATTTAAGCAATTTTACGTGTCTTCCAATAAACCTGCACAACATGATTGCACATCGTTCGGGCAGATTTCTCCTCCATTGTCATGATGATTTGGCAGCATGTTTGGAGAGAAAAAATGACAGGATCTTCGATCTGAAGGCAGTGAACTTAATGGCAATCTGTGATCGCATCTCAGAGGAGATATACACATACACTTGCATTTGGCTAAGGTACCCCCTTCCCCCTCTCTTCTTGGTAACAATGATACGTAAAATTGCGCTGTATGTCCGTGTAAAGTAGGACTATGCACTCTATACATATTGATACTTATGCATACTGTCAGCCATATAGGCTGTAGATAAGGGCAGTTCTGCCCACTCATGATATTTTTTTCATAAAACGATTCCTTCAAAATCCATGGGTTGTCTCACCGAGCTTCTCCTAATTATGGCCTTATGTTAGTCCCTAGATTGCAGTGATATTCTCTGGACCATCTTTATTTTAATCTTTCATCTTTGTGTTGTTGTACCTTGTCAAGACTTGATTCCATCCCAATTCTTTCTGTCTGTGGCAAGACCAAGACGTGCCTTCTAGTTACAGGGTCCTGGTTCTTTGTGTCGCCCGAGGGGATTCTCTCATATGAGTAGATGTTGAAAGGCAACCGATGAAATTGCCCTGAAAAATTTCCTATGGAATCAACCCCTATTTTGCAGCGGTATTTATATTGGACCTCGTTAGCTGACAAACGTTCGTCAGGAAAGATGGCAAAAGCGAACGTTTTGCCTGACAGATTTAGTTCTAGGTGTTAGGAATATGCAACTTGTATTCCCATGAGGCCATAGGCCGATATATATACATGTACAGATGTGAAACATATGCAGGAAACCCCTTATATAACGGGATAAATACAAAGGGGTACATGACTTATAATATAACTCTAACACCCCCCCTCAAACTCATGGTGGATGAACAACACTGAGTTTGGAGAGATAAAAGCCATGTTGTGCTCTAGTCTGGGCCTTCGTCAGGAAATCCGCCAACTGTAACTCGAAAGGCACATACTGAAGAGCAATAACCTGATCCTGCACACCAGCGCGTACATAGAAAGCATCAACACCAATATGCTTGGTGAGCTCATGCTTCACAGGATCGCGCGCAATGCTAATAGCACCTGTACCGTAACCAAGTCACCTCTGCCGTCAAAAGAGCCATTGCTCGCAACTCAGCCTCGGCACTCGAACGGGAAACTGCAATCTGTTTCTTCGTCTTCCAGGCAATGAGAGAACCACCAAGAAAAACACAGTAAGCAGAAAGTGAACAGCGATCTGAAGGATCACTAGCCCACGTAGCATCCGAATAAGCCTGAAGCTGTAAAGAACTGGAGCGAGGAAAGAATAGACGGTGAGAGATTGTGCCCCGAAGATATCGGAGAACACGAAGGAGATGACTATAGTGGACCGATGTGGGAGCGGAGACGAACTGACTCAGAATATGAACCGGATAAGAGATATCCGGACGAGTGACGGCTAGATAGACAAGGCTGCCAACAAGATGACGATAACGCGTCGGGTCAGGGAGGGGATCACCATCAGTAGCACGGAGGTGAACATTGAGCTCCATAGGAGTCTCAACAATGCGTTCGTCAGTAAGAGCAGCACGAGCAAGAAGATCCTGGATATACTTTTCCTGGGATATAAAAAAGCCATCAGAGGCTATAGATCAGAGGTAGAAGAGACTTAAATCCCAAGAAAGTAGCGAAGAGGGCCAAGATCAGACATAAGAAACTGCTCACTAAGACGGGCCTTTACAAAGGCAATATACTCGGGGTCATCCCCAGTGATGACCATGTCATCAACATAGAGAAGAAGAGTCCGACCGCGAGGAGAAAGGTGAATAAACAATGCTGGATCATGAACACTTGCTGAAAAACCAGCAGCAGTGACCACAGAGGCAAAACGCTCAAACCAGGCACGGGGGGCTTGCTTAAGGCCATAGAGAGA